GCTTAAAATCTACCTGACAATTACTGAAATGACTAAGAACATTTTCCTGAAAGAGAACTATCTTATTTGAGAACGTTAGGTGTGCCAACCACATGAAACCAAGTTATCAAAGGAAAACAACTGCTACTCTGTTTGCTTAACTGATAGTGATTTGGTTGAATCATCACGAAGTAAAACACCATGTAATGAGATATGAATAAAAGAATGTTATTCCTAGGAAAGAAGGGACTCAATACTTGTATCTCTCCTTTCTAATCGCTCACCCCATGAAGAGCAAATATATTTCATTGTAAGTTTAAAATATTATTTCCTGATCTACTAAAATCAGAATTTCCAGAGGTTGGATCTCCCCAGGCACGGCAGAAAAGACTCATGCCTGCTTAAGATCCACTGGTCAGGTATGCCAGTGGGTCCCTTCCCCACTTCTAGGGATAAATCATGAAAGGTCGATTAAGGCTGAGCATGATTCATTTTTTGACAATGAAATTTGTGGGCAAGACTATTGAGGGCCACTGGGTAAGATTTTCCTTCCTAATAAAATGAGACAAGAGGAGAATCCTCCTCACTTTTTGTCTTTAAATGCCCTTGTGTGTATGTTGGCGGGTAGGTGCAGCTGTGGATGGAGACTGTATTTTTTGTAACTCTAGCAGCCATCATCTACCCATGAAGAGAAAGTCAAGATGAGCCCATAGAAAGCAACCCAGAGACTGATATTATTGTATTACTGAACCAACCCTGGATCCACATACCTTCAGACATCTTGTTATGTGAGAAAATTGAACTTGTATTTTTAAAGGCAATCTTAGCCAAATATTCTTTTACTTGCAGTCAAAAGTAGCCTAGCCAACAGAACATGTAATTTTGATGCAGAGCCAGCTCTGTAATCCTCTAATGATGAGGAACCTTTGGCTTACACCTGTCTCCCTAATTTATTGACATGGTGCAAAATCTTCATTGAAGATGAATGATCAGAACATTGCCTTTGTGTTGATAATTCTCAAAAATGTCTGGAAAATAAGATTTTAGCGCAAGGTTTTTAGTGTCATTCTTTTAGTCAACAGAGATTATATAGATTGCAAGGTTATATATTTTCCCTCCCATACACTTGAAGTTTGGTTGTAATATTTAAATATTGAATGAAAAAAAGTTGGGCTTATAGACATTTAATTGTTTTCTAAATTTCTACTCATGAAACAAACACAACAACAATAAAACACCACGACCATCGCTGCTTAGAGTTTCATTTTTTGATTTCTCTACTTGGTAAAATGTACTAGTCATTCAAGATCTAATTCGAACATCACTTTCTCAATTAGTATTTCCTAACTCCATGTAAACTAACTCTATCCCTCTTTTTCTGAGGACTCATTCATTCATTCATTCATTCATTCAAAAAATATCTATTAAGCTCTTGTCGAGTTCTAGCCCTTGTGCTGAAATTCAAAAGTGAACATTCTGACAACGTTCCTTACTTAAAGGCTGCAATTTAGTTAGAAAATGATAGATCATTCCTTAAGCAACCATAATGAAGTGTGGTAACTTTCAGTTTTAGGTACATGAGATAGCAACCTCATCCCTTCACAATCAGTGAAGTTCATCAGACTTTTACTGGATTTCTATGGTGTGTAAAGCACAAGAGATGCAAAGATGATTGAGATGCAGCCGCTCTTCTTTGTAGTAGGGATAGAGACTGATATGACTTCACCAAACTAGTTTTCTCTGCTGCCTGGGCACATATATAGTTGACATTTCCCAGTATCCCTTGCAGGTCAGACTGGCATGTGACCAAGGCCTGGCTAATGGGATGTGGGCATAAATAATGTATGCTACTTCCATTCCTCATCTGTAATTATGAAACCTCTCATGCAATCCTCTACATACCTCTCTTTTACTGTCCATTGCCTGGAAACTAAGGATTCTGAGATCTTAGGGGATGGCAAAGCCCTAATACAGAAAGAATTTGGGTTCCTGAATCACGGAATTGAAGGCCAGTTAAACACCATTACATGAATGAGGAATAGGCTTTACCTGAGGGAGAAATAGGCTTCTACTGCATTGTAACTGAGACTTTGGAGTTAATCTGTTATAGCAGCTACTGTTACCTTTAGGTAATGTAATTATGATGTGAAGAATGCAGGCATAGAATTAAACAGGGGAGAGGAGGTATTGCCTTGCTTGGCTGGTGTCAGGTGACATTTGTATCAATCCTTGAAAGATGACTTAGTCTTGTAAAGAAAATAAAGACCATTATAGGCAAAGGAACTAGACGAATAAAGGATGAGAGGTGAAAAGGAAAGTGTATATATGGAATTCTATGCACAGTTATATTAATTAAAGCAATGTGAGCAAGATGTGGAACAGTGAGAGGAAAATGGAGATGAAAACCCTGAATGTAAATCCTGTGTCATTGCCTCCTACTTGGGCCATTTTGGGTAACTCTACCGGTCTGGATAAGTTTCTTCATCTGTAAAATGGTGACAATGCCTATGTCACAGAAAATCTTAAAGCAGTATTAAGTACATCATAGAGTTCCCATGTAGTCCCCCCAATGCTTTATGCTCCTTTTATAAGATTTTCCTTGAGAAAGAAGCATGCATGTACTGTACTAAAAAGCACAGATAAGGGATATTGGTAAATTCAAACCTTTTAGTCCTTCATATAAGCCAAAGAAAAATCAAAGAATGAATTTCTAAAAGTGCAAAGGGCTTTTATTATGTTAATAAGATTTACTTAATTTTATTAGGCTGTTAGAAACTCTTTAGAAATTATCATGCAGGTGCTTTCCTTAACACATATGACACATGACTACAAAATATGGAGAACGCCTCCTCATTACACAAGTGAATGCATAGGCAGGTACATCTTCCCATACACTATGTTCCTGGATTTTGTATGAAAAAGATGTAAACCTTTTTCCCTGAGGAAAATCTGTTTTATCATTGGGGGTTTGTGTGGGAAACAAGAGTCCATGGTCTACCAGTTATCAGTAGCCTAGTAAATAATTGGTCATAAACCAGATATTCAATAATCTCTTGTTATAGAACTTATTCTGTAAATATTTTAAGAGAAGAAATGTTTTACATTACATTTGTAGAGCAAGAGAATTTAGAGATAATCTAGTCTATGAGTAACAAACACAAATGTTTTGGGGACCAAATAAAAATATGGGGGTCTGTGGCAACTGCAGAAGGCATAGCCCAACTAAAGGCATTCAAATCACTGCAAGCCCCTTGATCTAATCTCATAATTTCATTTCCCATCTAAAGCAACTAAAGAGATTAGGTTTACGTGACCCTGAGAGGCTACATAGCAAACGTATTAATCAGAATCAGTGCAGAGCAGAAAACCTAAACCACACCAGGTATTTTAAGCAGAAAGAGCTTTTATACAGGGAATTAAGTGAACTGTTGAAAGGGCTAGAAATATAGGGTCTAGGCTGGGCCTCCAGAAGGCCCCAGGACTCAGACATATAGCACTTCTAGAATATTAGTAACTGAACAACTGAGGCATATACTATTTTTGTACTATTAAGAGATCCCATAGGGACTGTGGAGTTCAAAAACACCACTGCAGTTGTGAGTCCAAGAAGCTGGGATCTGGAAGCTGCCTGGACAGGGAGCACAGAATATTTTCACCACCTCCCTCAACTGCCTCCTGATTACCACAGAGCTGGTGATTCAACAGGACAATGCTGAGTCTGGCTGTCACTGATGCTATAAGTCCTTCCCAACACCCACAATTCTGGAGACCGGACACTGGCATCTTGTAGGCCTTCTCTGCCAACAGAAAAGAGCCAAAAATAGCAGGGAGACAGCCTCTGCCTCACCCCTGTGATTGAAATGTTAGGCAAATTATCTACTTGCCTGAACCTAGTTTTACATTCAGAACACTAGTTGGAAGAGAGTATTGGAAATGTTTTTAGCTTTCTAGTTTTTCCTGTACAAGAAGGTACACAAGAAACAGGTAGAAATGGATGTGGGTGTGAAACTTCCGTATCCAGCAGAGTAACGTTTAGCATAGGCCTCAGGACTCAGACCTGTTACACTGACTTTTCACCACTTATTCTATAATGCTTACAATGGAAATCCTAAAACTTAAAAAAAAGGACAAAAATCTAGTCAATAGGGTTATATTACTAAAGACCTTTATAAGCTAGAAAATATATTGTGATTTAGTCATTTGCTCATATCATATGTATAGCATGAATCACACTATCTAATTACTTGTTAGGTAGATTCTGATCCATTGGGTTTTGAGTTACTGAATGGCAGACACTGTATTTCATTCATATGTATATCTCTTGTCCCTGTGCCTCTTGTCCCTATGCCTCTTGGCCCAGAGAAGACACACAAGTATTTGCTGAATTGCAATGTTTTGCTCTTGACTTGGAAAGAAACAGTAAACCGGAATTTCACGAGCACTGTGTAGCAGCAATGTCAGGTGGAGGTCCCATTACAGAGGAGTGGGGGGGAAAAGTCTTAGTCTTTCTGTGAAAACAGAGGTTGACCTGGTTAAGTAAGGTAAATGCTGTTTCTACCCAGGTGTTGTGATTTCTTGATGGGAGGCTTAAGGGACCAGTGGCTTCTTGGCATTAATCTTTTAGAGCAACATATCACACCAGAGTCTAGGATGAGACAACCAGGATGAGACAACCAGGATGAGATAACAAGCTGATGCCTGGTAAGAAAAAAAAGCCACAGACTCAGCCTGCGCTTTGAGCTCAAAGCAGGTGGTTCTATTCCCCAGTCAGCAGGATCTGATAGTTCTTAGCACTTGGGAGTGCTAATCCTGCCCACAGTAGTAGCAACACTCTCTGAATGATTTGAGAACTAAAACAAAAACAAACAAGAAAAACCCTGTCCAACAACACAACAGCAAACACACATTCCAATCTCCGTTCAACCGCAAAGAGCTGGGCGAGCCCGGGGTCTCTGGCGGGGCGAGGTTCCCTTCCAGGTGCTGGTTCTTTATACCCTTAATGTTTTCCCAGGGCTACTCACCTCGCGGTCTCCAGCGGGCGCCCAGGAGAGATGCTAAAATAGCAGTCTTCAACCCTTTTGGCACCAGGGACCCGTTCTCCTATGAGAATCTAATGCCTGATGATCTGTGGTGGGGCTGAGCCCATGATGCTAGCGCTGGGGAGAGGCTGCAAATACAGATGAAGCCTGCTTGCTTCCCCCCAACAGTTCACCCCGTTATGTGGCCTGGTTCCTAACAGGCCATGGATCAGTACCAGTCCAGGGCCCCCGGATTTGGGGACCCCTAGGCTAAAAGGTGTGCAGCATCCGGCCGTCCAGCCACGGCCTTCCTGGTGGCCTATCACAACAGGCGGAGCCGCAAGATCTGATTATTGCAGCCGCCTGGGAGCTGGGCGCGCAGCCTGGAGTCTGCGGCCCCGCCTTCTCTGCGCGCTCAGGGCGCCCGGGCCAGGCCATGAGCTAATATGGGCTGGGCTCCCCATGCGCTCTCTGTCGGGTTTGGGGCCTCAGGCCCCGGCCCAGGGCTGCACGAGGCTTCCGGGCAGACAGCGGGGTTTGGGGCAGGGTGGAAGGGGCCGCTTCCCGGGACCTCGGAGCAGCACCGTACATGTTCAGTCATTTGTCTCGTTGGGTGGCCTCGCGGACCCCTGGTGCCGGGAGGAGCGCGTCTCCCTGGGAAGCTCCGCAGAAAGGTCGCTCCGCAGGAGCAAGCCATGATGCCCAGTCTTTCCCGGCGATGCCGGTACCCTGGCCGAGGACGCTGACTCTTCAGGAGCCAGGAATGCAGGCCGGGCAACCAATGGCTTGGTTTGTCGTTCCCTAAACCAACTTCTACATTCTGGATTTTAATGCCACCCTTTAGTTGTACTTTTTAGAAGAATCTTCTCAGATGCTATTGAGAAGATAAGATTTTTTTTTTTTCTGGTGACCGATTAAGTCATGGGATAAAGGCTGTTCTTAATCCTTTCATCGCTTCCTTAACATGTGCCCTTCTTGCTGTATCGTTTTAGATGTAACCTTTCCATTTGCAGATTGATTCTTTTTCTTTTAAAATTCTCATTTCCCTGTCTTCCTTTCCTCTGTATTTCCTCTGTATTCTCTGTACAACTAAATGTGTTTATATACCCGCGCGCTCCTTTTGGAATTTTCATTTCCTAAAGAAATTAAAAAAATGTTCTTACCTGTTTTTCACTTCTTTAACCAAGTGCCATTTTTAATCACCTTTTTTCAAGTAAGAGGGACAATGTCAAGTAAATGTCTCCACCAGACAGAACCCACTCATTCTTGGCCCTCGGGTCCTCCTTTGTGGAAAGAATGGATGAACCTATGTTCTGTCCAAAAACCTTCTTCAGAGCATCTAAAATATTTTCCTAAACTGAACTCTTCCTCAACTAAAGCTTGCAAAGTTTCAGGTGACACCCAGCTTCCTCTTACCACAAGAATGAAATATATTTTTCCTTTTCTTTCAATCATATGATCTCCATTAATACATCACTCGATTTGATTAGCATGACTTTGGAAACATTGAACTTTGAGGCCAGATTTTACTTTGCATTTATTGTTTATAATGTTTTATTAAAAGAGTTTATAGTTAGCGTTGAGAGAACTAACTCAGAGCATTTAAAACTAGAATTCATTTTGCAGAATCATCACATTTATTTAGAATTCATTTGTTCATAGTTATACATGGGTACTTGCTTACAGCATAAAGTACTTCACAACATACTTATCAACTTCAATGTCCCATACCTCATCTGATAAGAAGTTAACAGCATTTTGATTATGATACACCCCAAAGAAACCCAGATCATTTGGCCCAACTCTAATTTCACAAACTGGAAAATTAAAATCCAAGATAAATTGGGTGACTTGGTCTAGGTCACAAACCAAGCTATCTGTGATATATCTCATGGATATATCTCATCAGTGGAATATCTCATCTAGAAGCCTAAAACAAATCTTAAACTCAATAGACTCTTTGGGAGTGCTAGTCAAAATATCCTTTGCTGTCGATTTTAACTAACTTTTATCAACTACAAAATATTCTTTCTTATACATAAAATGTTATCTGTTCACTGTTCATTTCAATAATTTCCTTGTTATTCTTAAGATTCATTTATTTTCTACTGTATATGTGCACCATACCATTTGATATTTTGAAGTAGTAACAATTAAAAAACAAATATAAAACCCTATAACTGAAGACAAGAAAAAACTTTCTAATAACGTCTTACAGAATTACCATCCATGAATATACTTAAACTTTTTCTTGAAATTTTCTTGCTATTACATGATTCATTTGTATTTGTTTATTCAGAGACTATTTCTAAAATTCACTCCTACTCTGTTATCCTGGAATTTGGTGAAAGAAAAATCTATACTTAATCGAAAAAAATATCCCTCAAACTGACAATACTGCCAAGTTAGTTAACTATATTTTCTTAGGCCCATGAAATTTTAATAAAGATTTTTTAGTTAGACTAAGTTAAGTACTAAGAAAATAGTACTTAATTATATATGATGACATCCATTAAGTATAAATACCTAATGATTATTTTCTTTTACATAATAGATAAATAATGTAGTTCTGCATCCAAACATTTTTTAATGTTATTGAAGCCATACTCCTTCCTACCTCTAATATTCACTTATAATGGTGTAAAAATTTAAAATTAGTATTCATATTCAGACCAATGCAGAATTGTACAAAAATATTTGAATATTGGGAATTAGAGGTAAAATAGAAATACCTTTTACTTAAAAAACTTTCCTTTTTCTTCATATTCACATTTTAGCTTTATATGCTTGCAAAATGAGGTTTATTCTTAAAACTATTCATTTGCAGTGAGCTTATTACCTTTATGTCATCTACAGTGATTTCAGGAGAGATTAGAAGAAATTAACATATTTATAGAATCAGACTCTTGTGAATAATGACATCATTAAAAAGGGCTTGTTTTGATTGCTATTTCCTTTAACAGGAAAGACATGATGAGTGAGTTTTCATGAACAGGTTCACTGTTGATGGGAAGGGACTGCCTTCTCAGCAAGAAGATCCTGAAATCACAAGCTCCAGCCTCCATCAATGATGACAGGATTACCTGTTATGTAGGCAGACTGTAGTGAGAAACACAAGCAGACAGAACAATTAACCAGGTTTAACACAGGTTGTATTTCTTCAATTCTTCTGTGACTGAGAGAGCTAAACAACTTCATGGTAACAGAAAAACTCACTTAAACACAATTTAAGGAAATCTGAATTAAATTTTGGGTGATTTAAAACTGCCAAGTGTTCTCATGGTCTGGAGTTAACTGGCCTCTGGCTGGTGGTTTAGCACATGTCACATTCTAAGCAAAGTCTGCTAGGTGTGTGGTCTCAGAATCAGAAAATTAAGAAGTTAGTCATTTGTGGAATATAGTCATTCCACAAATTAGGATAAAGTGAAGTGACAATAGTATATTTTCCTTTTGAAACTCAGAGCTATTCTAAACTAATTTTATACCACTAATAAACTTTTGAACATAATCAAGTGTGTCAATCATAAAATGGTCATGTCAATTATCAAATAGAATTTAAAAAAAAGTTGTATTGTATATATAATCAATATGCATAGGTAATTCTGGGAGCTGAAGCACACTAAATGTTTTAAAAGTTTTTATGAATAATAATTAGTATAATCCATTAAATTATGAAAAACATATTCTATACTAGTTTAAGATATCCAAATCCATGCAAAACTAAAGGAGTTAAAACAAAAAACTATATTTTTCCACAGAATTTTTCATTTTCCAATGAATTAAAGCTGAAGTGATTCCTTGTTTGAGGTTTAAAAATATTTTAAACATGGATAATAAAGACTCAAATTTGTGTTCTTAGTTTTAAATTTATCTAAAGCCTGAGACAAGGGAAGACACAAGAAGGTAAGACATCATTATATGAGTATAGAAATTTTAACATTCGATCTATGAAAACTGATCATATAATGTAGATAAACTGGGGGGTTACTAGTCACTTTACCAAGAAAAGACCACAACTCCCCCGTTTTCTTTTTTTTTAATACGGTAAGCTCTCTGTTATACACTAGACTCCTCTAGACCCTTCTAAAAGGCCAAAGGTCTTTTTGTTGCACATTTCAAGCCAGAATATTCCCAAATATTTGGTAACCTAAACTCTGGCTAAACAAAGGAAATTAAGCTTATCAGCACCCCAAAATCAAATGAGCTCTTCTGAAGATATGCATTCAGAGAAAGGCCAACGTAATTGCTCCATTAATATTTTGTCTAGCAATTTCCTCAGCTATTAACAATTGTTATTAATCGTTCTGAGAAGTAGTAACTGCTCTGTCACTCAACATTTCAACCGCTGTATTTGTCACATTCACCAAACACCTGGTGTGCACTAAGGTCCTATAAAAAGGAACTAACTGATCAGTGATATACCTCACTCCCACCTACTCCCCTGTCCTTCTCTCTTTTCATATATTACAGTTCCCTGGTCAAGTTATATTCAAAGACATAAAACAGAAGGGGATGTTCTTGTGCTCTATACCTTATGAATATAGTTTCTGCTTTTGCAGTTGTATGCCACTTAAAACCATACAATAACTATTAAGAAAGAAACTGCTTACTAAACAGATGCTAAGTAGAAAGAGACAGAATTAGGAATTTCCATACATAATGACAAACAAGGAAGAATTCATAGAAAAATAGACTGGTGGGAGTATCCTAAACAAATTGCCAGTAAAACCCAAAACACTGGATGCCAATTCTGTGTCTCCTGGGCTCAGTTAATTTAGTTACCCTCTCCCCATCTCACCTGAAGCTCTCATAATTTGGAGATTCATTTGATTTATTTATATTTAATCAGAGTTTCTTCAATTGTAATTTTTGAAAGCAATTCTCTCTTAGAAAACTGAGCAATTTAAGTTTTTTTCAATCCTCCATTTCATTTAGTTACATGTAAAGCTGAATGAGGAAAAGTCAGCAGCTCAGATCAAAGCAGCCTTTCTTTGAGCAAATTAGATCAGAACATATCTCTAGTACCTGCAGCATCTTAGCATACACACACACACACACACACACACACACACACACATTATATATATATGAGTATAGAAATTTTAACGTATATATGCCATAACTCTCTTAGATGACATTTTTTGTAATGTGTGTATACACACACACATTATATATCTATATATATATATCTATATATATAGATATAAAATGTGTGTGTGTGTGTATGTGTGTATACACACATATATATGCCATAACTCTCTTAGATGACATTTTTTGTTGAGCAAATAGTGGCCAAATACAATTGAGAATAAGGAACTCCCTGGGGAATACAATGCTTACTTCATCAGAAGCCAAATACACACATAGCAGGGCTATTTCATCTGCAGTTGCAAATCTTCCAGTCTTCTGTCTTTTCAGAAAATTGCTCAGTGCCTGTGACCAGAAAGCATACCAGACATTGGTGATGTGAACTGAAGTATGAACTCACCTGATACACCTTCTGGGAGTCAAAGGCAAGACAAATCTACAGAGATACCACTGGCTTACTGTCTTAATCACACACGATACATGAGATGTAAGAATATCATTAAAATCATTAATTGTGGACTAAGCAGACCAAGCAGGGCTACAGTGACTTCCAAGATACTCAAACTTTTTTTGTTATACTAAAATCTACAAATCAAAAAGTTCATATTAAAGGAGGCCTTTTAAAAAATAGTAAAATACACATATAACATTTACCATCTTAACCATTTTTAAGTGTACAATTTAGTAGTGTTAAGTATTTTTTTATTGTGCAATGAATTCCAGAATACTTTACATCTTGTGAAACTGAAATTCTGTACCTATTAAACAACTACCCATTCCCTCAGCCCATGACAACCATACTTCTACTTTCCATCTCTAATCTGTCTATTCTAGGTAAAGCAAAGGGCATTTTTTAACCAGAAGATTTAAACATTTAATATGGTAGCTATACCTCCTCAGGATTTGGTCTGGCTTGTATTCTTTCTTGCAGAGATGGGGTATCAACCATTCCTAAATCAAAGGGGGACATTCAACTTGGTTACTTACTTTAGCTGAAAAAGAGATTGACAATTTAAGTTTAAAGTTCCTTTCCATATGATACAACAATCAGTGAAATCCTTCTCCATGACTTAGAATAACAATTTTACCTCTACTTACTGGCCATTTTACTTCATAGGCTTATAACTTCTGTAATAACATGTCTATGAGTTTTGAAAACACAGACTATAATTCTTTGTGACATTAGGCAGGGACTCTGGGTGACTCATCCAGAATTCCCAAGACATGTATTTTAGTCACATTACATTTACATGATACTTTACAGATTTTAAGCACTTTTCCATGTATTATCTCAATTAATCCTCACAACTACCTTGAGATATAGATAAAATCATACATGTACTTCATCAGGACAAGGATCCAGACTGCCTTAATTCTCTCAAATCTGTTCTTGCTGTCAGTTTCACTCTGGGGATCCTCAGGGACAACTCTATGACTGTCACAGTCCTTTGTAATTTAGGTGGTTCTAAATTTTCCTCATTATCTTGGCTATTTTAATTGGTTTCGAATTCCTATTTTTGTCTGGTTTTATGTTTTTCGTTAAAAATATAATTTGAAATTATTTTACTTAAAAAAAAAAAAGAGAATGCCACGGAAAAGTTTTAAATCCCACTTTGTTCACATTCCTACAGAGAAAGTTCCCCAGACTTTTTTGTTCACTTATATAATCTGTAAATTCTGTGAACAGTCTTTCAGAGACCACACGATCTTTCTCATGGCATAGCGAATGATTTTACAGTCACATCCTCAACTTCATCTTTAGACCACGTTCCTGAGAGTGCCATAGATGTGATGTTTGCTTGGAAATCATTTCTTAATTTTATCATCATTTACCATTTTTCTGGAGAGGCTGTGAATTCAAAATCAGCAAATTCTGGCTCCTTTTCATTTAACAGCTCTTTCTTTAGCTGCTGCTTCTCACATTTTACTGTTAGAGGGAGGCATTCTTCAACACTCTGAGTGGAAACTGCCTTAGCTAGATCACCCAGCTCATTAGGAATGTCTTCTACCTCTCATGTTACTGTGAGCAGTAGAGTTGATAAACTTTCTGAAACCACGCAACAAGGATCCCCTTGTATCCAGTTTATGATAATATTTTCCTCACATCCCTCATCAACAGTCTCCTTAAAGTCCAAAATACTATCAACAGTGTGCTAAAGGCACCTAAAGCTTTCACTTAACACTTCTTCAAAATCCTTACAGCTTTAACAGCTTCCTTTAACTGAGGCAAATGAGTGTCATATCTTACATATGGCTGGTATGAATGGCTATTAAAGCTGTAGAGCAAGCCTATGCCTTCCACTTAATTCCATTGTTACTGGATTCTGCTGTGTCCATGGCACAGACTGACACACCATGCCATAGTCTACACAAGTCTGGTATTAAAAGAGTTGTGACTAGACAATCACCAGGGCCATCCCAGACGCAGTCATTCCTCGTCAGGTTTTCTTCTGTGACTGGCTCAGTGAGTCACAGCTAGTTCCTTGTTCCACAGCTTTTGATAACATATTTTCCAATCTCCTGAAAAGTCCAGCTGCTAAAACAACCAAATTTTCCCAATCATTTTGCCATTTATTCCATTGGGTAAATAGCACCGAAAATAGCTGGACTCAAGTACCATCAGTTAAAACCCAGTGAAACTGTCTCTTCTCTATTCTCCTTTTTCTTACTGTTACCTATGTTTAATCTTTCTAGTCCTAGAAAAATTAAGCACACCACCTCCATCATGAAAATTCTGTAGCAGTTTCCCTTTAACTAATGAGTGAGTGGTTTTCAACCTGAGGGGAGACCAGGATGGATTACATCAGACTCTCCTGTGGGACTTTTCAACTGTTTTATTGTACTTCACTTTATTTCACTTAATAGATGTTGGGTGTTTTACAAATTGAAGGCAAGACCTTCTACCAGCAAATAGATTACAACCCGCTTTATTGAGACACTTGCTTTGTTGCCGTGATCTGGAACCGAACTCACAATACTTTTAAGGTATGCCTGTACCGTACGCAGTTTTCTCTCGTCAGCCCCTTCTCCAAATCTGGCATGCCCTTCACATTCTGAAAGATCCCACAGGTAACTGTGAAATTATACCCCTCCCTAACCCCTCAACAGCAGTTTGTACACTACTGAGAGGAGCTTTGATCCTGGATATGCAATTTTTAAGTTCTTTTCAAGAAGGAAGTTAATAATTGTTCTTAGACACCTTGTATTCATTTTGGGTAGGTGGAGTCAGGTGAAAGGGCATGTCTATTTAATAGACACACCCACAGTTATTAAGATAATGAGTATTTATTCCTAAGAAATAAGTTATTGAATGCTTTTGTTTGGACAAATGGCCTATCCTTTCTACGAATAATAAGTTCTGCTTTTCTCCTTTCTTTTATATGCGAGGTCAGCAAACTTTCCGGTAAAAAGCCGAATAGGAAATATTTTTAGCTTTAAGAACCATTTGGTCCATTAGAACAGTTCAGCTCTGCCTGTAGCATGAAGGCAGTCCTAGTCAACACGTAAACTGGGTGTGGATGTGCTCCAATAAAACTGTATTTACAAAACAAGGGGTGGCCAGATTCGGTCTGCGGGGCCATCATTTGCTGTCTCCCTTTTTATAGCATAAAGGAAGGTGTTAATCCTTCCTTTTAATTTATGGGCCACCCAGGAGATTTTCATGACTCAGTAGTTCTCTGTGCTCTGGGAGGCTCCTCTTTCTCCTGCTGTCCTGTGAGCATAGTCTACTTTTCCTCTTTCCCATGTCAAGGTCATCCCTGGTCTGCATCCAAGACACCAAACCCTAGCCAATGCTGTCTACTAACCACATGGTTTGGAACTGCCCCTCACACACGAGTGGCGTTAAACCCATTATGGCTTATTCCCAATGACTTAGCCTCTTTATCCCAATTTATTATTGGACTGTTATCTTAATAAGCCTAGGCTCTTTTTCTTTTGAACTTTTCCTAATGACAAGAGACAATATAACATGGAGCCAACAAACTTATGTAGATATCTCTCACAGTGGCAACCCAGATATCAGAAAGGACATGTCCACAGCCCTGTAGTGCCAAAGTCACCTGGACACACACAGTTGCACCTGATACCCTGCTGGATGAAGTCTGCAGCCACAGACTTTGTGAGGCCAATCACAGCCGCCTTGGTTGTGCTGTAGACACATCTGTTAACAACTCCTGATTGAGAAGGAAAAATTCAATAATTGAAGGAGCAAAAAACATAGTTTCCTTTAGAATGGGAACACACATAAATGTCCCCAGTAACCATTGTCATGCTTCCTCCCGCTCTGCCCTTTCAAAAGATTTGGTATCAGGTTTTCTTCCTTAATAGCGCTAGCTATTTTCTTTTAAACTCACAAATCCATTTGTGCCAGATTGTGACATTATCTTGCACTACAATCCTGGGTCTTCAACTTGACTTCTCTTTAGGGCCCAGATCAATTGTCTTTGTGAATTACTCCTCATGTCCACAGGCATTTACCTCCCCAGTGTAGTGAGGGCACTTTGCACAAAGCTGTGATAATACGATCACTCATAGACGTGCATTTGCCCCCTGTAGGACTGTGAATTCTTTTGGAGAAGAAGCACATAGCTGGTGTTCGATACATCTTTTTTGATAAATTAAATGGATAAATATTTCCTTCTCCCAGTTTGATCTTCATTTTCACATCCATTAGAAGGAATGAAAGGAAGAACAAAGCAAACAAACTTTAATTTTATGACTGCTTCATGTCTAAGGCAAAAGGATTGGCAGTTAAGGAACTTAATATCAATTTTTAAAATGCAGTTTTGAAGTTATGTATGGGTTTCATGATTTCTGCTATGCTTGTTCTCCAAACCCTTAGCTTGGGAAGGTGTGTGAGTATTTGCGTTATGATCCCAGAAGCAGACAGACCTACCTTTGATGCTGGAAGCCACAGAGGACATGTTGATAATATTGCCAGATTTCTGAGCGAGCATCTGCCAGAACAAGATAGATTAAAAAAAAAAAAAAAAAAAAAAAGCCCCTCTGAAGGATAAAAATACTACGTCTTTAAAAGATTTGCATTGGCTTAAGTTTTGTAGAATCATCTTATTAGTTATGAACATTGAGCTCTGTTAAGCAGTCTTAACAGTCTCACCCGGTACTGCTGCAAATCGGTGGCGCATGCACACACTTACTGGCAGGAACAGTTCCCAGGGGGATATCACCTTCCTGTGGCACAAGACCATCAGCAAGACCAAGAGGACTCTGAGCTAAACAGAATGCGAATGAATGATAGTGCTTGCTATGTATTCCTGATGTTGGACAACTCTTACTTCATTCAACACAGTATTTGTGGAATACTCACTGTGGTCAGGTATTGTGCTAGGTCCAGGAGATTCAAAGGTAAGTGACACAGTCTTTGCCTACAGAGAGCTCCAAGTCCAACTGTAGTTGCTGACATTACCAGCAACCAGTGACAGCAGAGACCTTCATAAAATAGGGGGAGTTGATGGGAGGGGACCGATCCAGGCTGTGGGACACTAGAGGAAAGGCTCCTGAGGAGGAAATATATGGGTTGAGTTTTAAAAGTTAGAGTGTTAGTCAGAAAAATAAAAGAGAAGGTTATTTTAAGGAGAGAGAGAGCCTTATGTATAAAGGCTCTGTTATGGACCTGGGGGCAGGAATGGGTCTGGCTGGAATGCAGGGCAAAGAAGGAATGAGGCTACACAGGTCACCCAGGGCTAAATTTAGGAATAAGGGCTTTACCCTGAAAGGAATGCGGTGGTGACAGTAAAGAGTTTCACCCAGAAGAGGAGGGTATGATTTGGGGATTACAAAAATGACTCTGGTACCCTGTAGAGAGGACCACTGGAGGCTGAGGCAATGATTTAGGAAAGCGGGGGATAAAAGCAGAGATGCATAAATGTCTGTGGGTGACAGAGATGGAGACAGTTGAGGTCGTAAGGGTAGGGCTTGGAGAATGGTTATGTGCAGTGAGGGCTGCCTCCCCGTCTAAGGCAGCATTTCCTAGGAGCGCCCCTTTAGAATTCCCCCACTAAAGTGTGAACTTCATGGGAGGAGGGTCTGTGGTGGTGTCGTCCTTCTAGACATGTTGCACAGTAGGTGGTCAATACATTTTGAAAAGTCAAAATCACCTGAGGTGCCAGTTTAAAGTACAGATTGCTGAGTCCTGCCCAAGACCTAAAGGGATATCTAATGAAAAGATTGCTATGAATTAGAAAATGTTTTCAAATAAACTTATAATGTATTAATTATAACATGTATGTATGTTTTCAAGATAATATACGTATGTGCAAGGGCATGGTTACCCACGAATGTTTTGGGGGAAGAAGCAAGAGGTGGGGAGAATTCCCGCCTAATGAGCATTAACTGCTCATCGAAACCAGAGGCTGTGAGGATGATTATAAAGAACCTGGGGAGACGGTGAACACAGAGACCGGCCAGTTAAAACAGCTGCTGGTTAAAACAACCAGAGAACAGAAGGAAAACAGGATACGTTATATCATGAAAATCAAGTAAAGAGTTTCTAAAAGAGTCTCAATAGGCAGTGTAAAGGGTCTGGAGAAAGAAATCACTTTTGTTGGGGTGAGTTTCTCCAGCAGCTTTCAGACAAAGAGGTTTAAGTTTGGATGGATTCCGGGGTGAGGTTGCAAGAATATATGTTTCCTTTTGGTATTTTCTTACTTTCTGTTTTGATACTTAGCTACTAATTGTACCTAAAAGCAGAGTCTAAAACAACCCTAAGGCATTGCATTAGACAGGTTAACAAACCACAAGGAGAGGCTGAGGTGACCCAATGGCACAGGAGAAAATATTTACTCTAAATTGTTAATATAATAAAGAGGATCTTAATTAAATAGGTCCTCATAAAAAATACCAAAAAAGTTACTCAGATATAATGACATTGAAAACCAAGCCCTAAAAATCTTCTTTCTTACCAACTTTAGCAAATAACGTAACCTGTTTTTATCTTTTCCAGTTTTACTGAGCTATCACTGTCATCTAAAACCCATTTTTAATACATATAGAATACAGAGAACCCAATTTATTTTTATTTTATTATATATTTTTTACGCCTACAGCGCCTGGTATTCCTAGGTGATCTCCCATCCAAGTACTAACCAGGCCCGACCCTGCTTAGCTTCTGAGATCAGGCGAGATCGGTCACGTTCAGGGTGGCATGGCTGTAGATAGAACCCAATTTAAATATAAAGACAGGCTATTAAGTAACTTCAGTGTCCAGTCTTCTGAAATGCAATAATAACTCAGGCAAAACTTTAGAACATGCTCACCTAGGAAATGGTGGTGCTGCTTCCTAATACATGTACTATCCATTCAACCCAGGTCTCCCTGCTGATTCTAGAGCCCACGGTCCTTGCCTCCTTTCATGCTGCCTTCTCAACACCAGC